CTCGGATAACCATTCCCAATCAAAATTTGTTTTATATTGGATATTTCGTTCTCCGTATCATAATCATCATCATTGTCTGTTGTGATGTTTCAAGCTCTGTTATAATGAGATTTGAAGCTACTGAAACTTTCATTTTTATTGGATGATCTGTTTAGAAATTCAAATACTTGTTGGAATGTTTGTCTTTTTATAAGACACTCCAGAAAGTTTAGAGTCACCCTCATCGAATGCTACTTCACATTAGTAAACTCCCTGTATATTTTGAGATTAAGTGTTAATCTGTTTTGGAAAGTTTTCTTTTTCAGCTTTCTTATAAGTTACAAAATGGTGCCTGACCATACGTTTTACAATGACTTCGAGTGTTATAAAAAGAAAGTATAAACAACATAATTTCAAAGATGATGTATATAGATGAATCATTCAGTATTAAAAGAGTAACTATTTATGTAATAACTAGACAAGAAATTGGCGGAGTTCAGATTTCGCTTGGAAACTAGAATGGACTAGAGACAAAATATACAGGATGGAACAACGGAGTGAATTTATACATATTATCATGGAGAGCTCCCGAGGGGTAGGGTGAATTATAATATTATTACTATTCCCTTGAGTTCCAAGTGGAACATACACCTGGCTTCAACACCACTGGATCTCTACTTTCTTCTATTCTCTGCTGTCCTTTTCAGTTGCCTAGCTCCACGACTGACCATAACCTCTCATCTCCTCTTCTCCTCCTCATCCTCGACATACGATCTCCATGTTACTCGCACCGACAATCCACTCGTCCATTGTTTCCTATTGGGATTCCACTCGAGTGATGGGTGGTCTGCATTGCGCACGATTCTAATGTATGCTCGGTCAATCCATCTCCAAACCATTTCTCCTACATAATTGTTGGGCGATCGGCTGTTGGTTGGTTGCTTTGTTCCACTGCAGACTTTCTTGTTCCTGCTTCTTTCTGGCTGGCTGACCATTTGATCTTCAGTTTGGAGTCAGCTAACCAGCGGAGGTGGCAGCTGTTGATAAAAGTCTGCAACAGGCTGTTGGAAATCCTTTCCGTGACACACGGTGCAAGTTTCTGATCCATATAGAAGAACTGACTGACTAACTTCAATGATATTTGTGCTGAAAATGCTAATCTTGTTGCTTATGCCGCTGAGTTATTGCAGAAGATTTCCAAACTGGTTTCAGACGGATGAAGGCGTATGTTACTTGTCTTTCCGATTCTGGCTGGCTATGACATCTTCATCTGTGTCATCCGTTTGTAGTTGAAACGATGCTGACTGCCTTGATAACCTCTGTCAAATCTCTCCCGCTTATGGTGATTGGTGTTGGTTGTAGTTGTTGTTGTCGCTGTTAGTTGGTTGGTCATCTTCATCACCTCCGTTTCCACCTTCTCTACGTTCACCTGGATAGATTCCTGTCTTCGTTGCCAGCCGGCCTCTTCTGCCAGTTAGTCGCCAGTTTTCGCCTTCCTCTAAGTCATTAGACATATATCATCTGCGAAATCCAGATCTTATAGAGTCTTTTTATCAGTCATTGCATGGTATTCCTGTCTCCTCGCTACGCACTCACAATCTTACGCAAAATCCAGTCCACCACAATTAAGAATATCATCAGTGATAATAGGCATCCCTGTCTTACCCCTGTATTCACTTCGAATGCCTCTCTGAGTCTTCAATTGTGGATCACTTGGCACGTGGCATTGTTATATAGCTGTTGAATGAGGGGTGAATAGTATGGTAAAGTTATAAAATAGATAAATTGATTTAATTTAGTAGATTTGGAATCTTCACAGTGCGTTCAACTGAGTCAGTAAGTGAAAATCAAAATCAAGATTTGAATGGAATGTTACGAAACAGAACAAAACTCTGGTCGTTACCAGGTAGGATAGTGAGAGAATTAGTCACACTCTCTTTCTGTATGCATAGGTTAGGTCCATGGTCTTTTGATGATAACAATGGATTCTACGAACTGAAGTAGCCATGCTTTCCTGTGTGTACTGATTATTTTGAAAGACTGTGAGCTAATTTCCAATATATGTCCCGTGTCAGTCAATTAGGTGTCTGGCAACTGAACTTGAGAACTCTTTGCTGTCTTTTAAACAGAGACTTAGGCAATATTATGCTCAGAGAATCTAGTAGGCCCTCTTCTGCTCTCAGTTCTTCATATGTACTTGTTGCCACAGGTGTAAGGGAATTGGTAAGTACAGCTGGAGTTGGCAGGCGAAGCAGGATACTTATCGTAAGTGTAGAACTTGGGCACTGTGGTAGAATGTAATTCCATATTAGATTTGTCGTTACTACACAAGCGATGAAGCATGCTAAGTATTCAGTAAATAAATGTTTTACTGGAATTCATGAACTCATAAAATTATGATTTCCGTACATATGTTACCTTTTATTTTTGAGTAGGCAAATAGTTTGAAACAAATATTTTTGATTACAGGATTCCACCATATGCTGACATCGGTTGGTTAAAGAACCATTGGAAAACCTGCCACATGGAATACTGCACAGCCAGCTGTTTCGTCAGCCTAGTTTGGGAATGGTTCTCCAGCAGTACGCACCCACCCCACTGACAGAGTTCGAACCCAGGACCACGTCCTGTTTACAAGGTGAGGGAGCTCATAGACCACTAACCAGCCACTGAGAACCTATCCTATGGCCAGTCAGCCAGTTCATGAATTCCAACTTCTGTCAATTCACGGATGAGACAGTGCCACTGGTATTAGCCAATGTCATCAGTCGCGAGTATTTGTTCTCACGCCCGGCCTGCTGTACCCTACTGGTCATGATGAAATCCTGTAATCAATTAACCAAATCCCTACAAACCAATACTTGAATATCAATGAGATGATAACTGGCAACTTGCCTTATTCCGGCAGGGAGCTAGTTACCTGAGCGTTGTAGTGGGAAGCTATGACCAGTAGGGTACAGCAGCTGGGGCTTGAGGACAAATACCCGCTGCCAACGATGACATTGGCTAGTGCCTGTTGCGCTATATCGTGCGTGAATTGGCAGAAGTTGGGATTCATGGACTGGTTGGCTATGGGATTGGCGGTTCTCAGTGGTTTCTTAATAGTCTACGAGCTAGCCTGCTGGTCTTGTGACCATAAGGTCCAAGGTTAAAACCGCAGTTGGGTGGGTGCGTATTGCTGGAGAGCCAGTCCCAAACTAGGCTGACGGAACGGCTGGATGCCCAGTACTTCCTGTGGCTAGTTTTCCAATGTTTCTCTGAACACTAACCGATGCCAGCTCATGGTGAAATTCTGTCACCAATCAAACAGACAGAATCCCCACAAACCAATATTTAAATATCTTTGAGATTGATGAAATATTGACTGGTCGTGTAATTATGACGTTCCAGTTTTCTGTAATCTAAAATATTTATCTAACACCTCGACAAATTACCAAGTATCTTGTGAGCTATAAAGTGAGTTTTGTCATTTTATCACTTGAACAAGTTTTATCATAACTAAGGGGTGTGATACTTCCTTTGGTTCATTCATCCTGAAGTTTTACTGAAAATTCAGAGGATCATATTTATTATATTTCCGTATTGGTTTCTTTATTAGATATATCACGCACACACGGTCAGTAAAACAGTATTATTATTTACTGGATGACGACGCCTTTCGAACACAATTTATTTATTTATTGTTCATAATAATTTCATCATTTATAATCACACACAACTTCGAAACTTGAGTTTTATAGTTTTCTTTGTTCTCTCCTATTTGTCATCGCCGGGGTAGTAGTAGAATTTTCCAGATGTCCACGTGGACAGGTGTCGAATCATTCCTATTACACCTATTCCCGCCCTCTCAGTTGATTCGATAAACAAAGCTTCTGTTGTCAATCTCTGCCAAACCCCACCGTGTTACATCAGATTTTAAAACTGTCATTTTATTTTATCATGCTATATTGTATGGCTTTGTGCAATTGTTGAACTATTCTCCAGATTTCTTATCTTATTCGCGTCAACTAATCTAGATTTTGCTGCTAGGTTTTTGTGCTGCTCCGCTAGTCTGACTGACTTATGCCGTTCTACTGCTTTGACGCATGTATTTGACCTGAAATTCATTGTAGGGTATCAGATAAACTAAATTGTTTTGTTTTATTGACTCCACAGGATCCTTTAACTGACAAAGATTGTTTCTAATTCACTTTGTGAATTTCAATGCATTATTAAGTATTCTGCTTAAGTTTTCCAAGATTCCTTCTTTGTATGGAAGTACGCACTACTGATGATTTATATTCCCTATTGTTAGTATTGTCACTATCCTGCGCATTTTTGACATGCATGTCGTCATTAATATCATTGTTATCAATATCACCATCACTAATGTTATTATTTATTTTGTTTTTCATTTCCCCCTACATACCTCCTGATTAATTTATCAGGGTAATTATTAATTAAGTTTCAAAGCTTCTCTTATATGCCTCACTTCCTGTCTTAGATTTTCCTTGGTACTACTTAGTTTCTTTCCCCTACTGTCATTTAAACATTTCACCAGTCCTTTTTTTAATGACATAGATAGGATGGGATGACCTGAAATCCAAATATATTGGTTTGGATATGTGTGAGTTTCCCGTAAACACTAGTGTGTTTAAATTCCTATCTCCTTTTCTATTTACGCTACAATCTAACATCCGAAGCTCCCCTTCCTTTGAATCAACTGCAAAATCGTGTAGTAGGAATGATTCAACACCTGTCCACGTGGACATCTTGGAAATTCTACCACCCCTACAACGACGATTAGGAGAGAACAAAGAAAACTATAAAACTCAAGTTTCGAAGTCGTATGATTAAAATTGATATTATGAACAATAAATTTTGTTCGGAAGTTGTCGTCATCCAGTAAATAGTACTGTTTTACTGACTGTGTATGTGTGATATATCTAATAAACAAACTAATATGGAATTACTTACTACCACAGTGCCCAAGTTTTACACATATATAAATACAAATTTAATTGTATTTCCTCGATTTTTAGCTGCCCAGTATAAGTGAATCAGAAGACAAACCTATTCGATTCTCTGAAGTCCCAGAACCTAAACTATGCAGAAATAGTCAATTTTTGCCGAGTACATCATTGACAGATAAACAGAAGATGAATAATCATCCATTAGCCTGCTCACTGTTGAATTCACGTGAATTAATGCATCAGATCCAACTGGCATGCAGTATTGATGTTGATTTCACTGAGAGAAAAATTAATCTCAAGGAAGATAAACAAAGTTTAATAATCGATGAAAATATTGACCGAGAATCTACTGACGACGACCACGGGAGATGATGATGATGATGGTGATGCTGATGACGCTAAAGAAGAAAATAAGCCAAATGACAGTACTTTGTAATGACTGTACAAGAAAATGATACAAAACCACCAACACAATGCTCAATTTCTTCGCCATTTTATAGTCATCAAGTCAATACTAAAGGGGATCTTGTCGAACGAGAATGTGCTAAAGATGGCTTTCTGTCCATAAACAGTCCAAAATCATCTACTGAAGTACCTGAAGTTGATCCAAATTTGAACAATAGTAATAATAATAATGGTAATAATGTCCAGTGTTTAAGTATGTCACCGGCATTAATAAATCCATTGTATGAGAAGAAGGCGAACAAGAAGACGAAGAATCCTTCAGTTTCTGCTATCCGAGTAAGTCAAATATTTTGTTAGTTAAGCTTTAGGTATGTATTTTCTTCTTTTGTTTGTTTGTTTGTGTATGTGTTCTAACTGAAATAATTATTTTGTGATAGGCTCTTTATAAAATGTGTACTTAAACTTCAGAAATATTTGCTGGTTTAAATCTAGATCCCTAAGACGGACTCATACTGACGCCACCACGCTTTGTTTGTCATTTTCCAGCTTTCGACCAATTATGATTGCTCAAGAGAAAGACAAGCTGTCTAGTTGTGCCACTTTTCTGTGTATCTACAAATTTAGTTGCTCCTGTGGAGAAAGCTGGCTATATAGGGCAAACAACAACTAGACAGATGAACAAACGCACCCTTAATGAGCATCTTCTTTCCCTCGTGGTTCAGAAAAGGCCAAATAAAATCTATAAGAAGTTCTATGTTGACTCATTTTAGTGATGATGATGATGACAGCGGTCACCAAGTCGACAGAAGTGGTGCATTCAGAGTTATCCATCGCATTCCATCGAGCGTTTCCGACAGAATTCCACCTCGCCTCCTACACATAGCTGAAGAAGCTATGGGAATTAATTCAAGAGAACAATCCTAGTGTCTTTGCACACAACAAAAGAAGTTTGTTCTACCTTTTGTCTCTCTTTGGCTTAGCCTAGGTAAATTGTAATCAAAACTCTTCCCCACCCTTTCTTATTCTTCATTTCTTTAGTACTTTTATGGTGTTTATTTAAACTCTGATCATCTATTCACTTCACTTACTTTTTATTTTATTCCTTCACGTTCCCAGTGGAACATAGGGCTTCAAGCTGAAGGTTTGGAGTATCTGTAGCAGTGTTTATTTTTACAGGATGGGGTTGCTAGCCTCATGCCTAACCTTTGCTCTTTACCAGCTTTTTACTTATGGCTTAGCGAGGTAAAGGAGTGCGTCGGCCGGGAATCGAGCCCCGTACCATGTGCATGGTCAGCGATCGTCCTAACCTCTATGCCACCGACGTATGCACTTACCTTTAGCATTACGTAACTCTTAAGATTTGACCTAATTATTTATTTATTGAATTGTCTACATATACACATACATATTACTACCTTCGTTATTCTTATCGCCACCTGAATAGACTTGTAATTTCGTTGCCACCGACCTGACTATCATTACTTTTTGCTGTTATTCTAATCATCGTTATTACTGACGTTTAAAACATTTAACACTTATTACTTCTCAAGAATTGATTTGTTTTTCGAGTTCGAGTTTGACTACGGAGTGATTGATTGATATCAGTTAGAGAAGGATTGAAAACCAGCTGAGGGAGTACTGCAAGACAGCTTTTCCATCAGCCTAGTTTGGGAATCATCGGGTCAGTACGCAACCACCCTGCTGGGGTTTGAACCCCGAACCTTCCGGTTACAAGGCAAGTGTATCACTCAGCCTATGGGACTCGACGCGATCCAATAGTCAGACCGCCCATGAATTCCAACTTCTACTAATTCGGGATGCAATTAGCGCAACTAGCACCAACCAATGTCATTGCGGCAGGAAATCCATCCTCACACTTGGCGACTTGATGGACCTCACTGGTCACGACTTTTCACTAGAACTCCAGGAAGTTAGAACTCATGCACTCGCCACTGGATTGCGACGAGTCCCAGTGAGTGGCTAAATGGCATACGATCTAGCTCACCTTGTGACCTGAAGGTCTTGGGTTCCAGCCGCACTCGGGTGGGTGCATACTGACCCGGTGATTCCCAAAACTATGGTGATGAAACAGCTGTCTGGCACTACTCCCCAAGTTGGTTTTCAATGCTTCTCTAACTGATATTAATCAATCCGTAGTCAAGTCGAAAAAGAAAATCTAATAGTTACAAATCAATTTTTGAAAATTCAATTGCCTTAACATGTTGACGTTTCGGTTCACGACAAGCAGGAATAAAAGTTAGAACAATCAAAGATTATTTTGCTTCCTAATATCCCTTGAAGGTATTCATGAGATTATCAGTGTTGATAATATGATTGACTAACTGAGTTTCAGAATAGAACTTTCCACTATGAGTGTAACAGCAGAAGGCGTATTCACCACTGAGAGGGATTTTGAGCCATGTTACCAGTAATCTTAAGCAATTGGTTCTTAGCGTCTCGCAAATCCAAGTCAGTCAACCCAAACCTCTCTACATGTGTCAAACCAAGCGTTAAGAACTTCATAGTTTGAATCCATGGTTTGTTTTCATCACTCTTAACTCTGTTCCTCATCACTCCTTTGTTAGCTAAGACAGTTCATATCCTGACATACATGACACACGTTGTAGATTTGACATCTCAGATGACTCATATTCATGCCCTCATCAACTGACCGTCCTCCTAATCTAACAATTTATACTTTAAATCACTAATGCTTAAGGCGGAAGACAGAACGCAAACCCTCATGTTCAGAGACGCCTAGCCTCTTGAAGTCTCCCACTGTCAATAGTCACGTTCCACAGACATCCACACGTCTATGCCAGAGATAATGTAAGATGGCAAATGCTACACACCAGTCTTTTGTATCCGTGTACTTAGATTTTGTCAGCAATCAACTTGTTATCGATTATACAACTTCCTGTATAAGTGAAGTGGTCAACACATTCAACCAGTTGACTTACTATCTTTAAACTAGGAGTCTATAGGGACCAATCCTGCAGTTCCACTTTATTTGTGACAGGGGAGGGGGAAGGCATGCCAAATATACCAAGATTTCTAATGAAGGCGTTCAAAAGACTGCATTATTTTTCGGAATATGAACCTAGATGAACAAATACTTCTCCATACTCTAATATCTCTCAGATTATTTTTGCTGGAAACAAGTCACCACCTAAGTAACGAATACATCTATAACGATATTAAACGAAACTGGAGACACAATGAGCATCCCTAATAAACATGATTGCTTGTCAACACTTCTTGCATAGGCTTGAATATAACTGAGTGATATTTAAGTGTTGATTTGTAGGGATTTTGTTTGAATGGTGATAGAATTTCATCATAACCAGTAGGGTGCAGCAGGTTGGGCGTGAGAACGAATACTCGCCATTGGTGACATTGGATAGTGCTATTCGCGCTATCTTGAGCGTGAATTGACAGAAGTTGGAATTCATGGATTGGGTAGCCATTATTTTGGCTCACGGTGGCTGCTTAACGGTCTACGAGCTCGCTCATCTTCTAACCAGAAGGTCCTGCGTTTAAACTTCATTGAGGTGGATGCGTACTGCTGAACAGCCCCAAACTAGGGCAACAGAGACAGCTGTCCAGTACTCCCAGCTGGTTTTCCAATGGTTCTCTAACCGATGTCAGCTCATGGTGAAATCCTGTAACAACTGAGTGAGTTGGAATTGATTACCTTGATTAATGCGACATACTTTCTTGGCGTCCCTTTCACGGTCAAACATTGCGACAACACCACTCAGTCGACGCCACTATATATACCTGCCAACTATAGGTCAAGAAATATGGCAAGTGGTGGCCACAGTGAAGTGTTTCTAAGTCCCAGAATCTGTCGAATCGTGTACATATGATAAGTAAACCCTGTTGTCGTCTCAAAGTAAAAAGATTTCCACAGGTATAGTTCTCCCGAGCCACTTTTAGTCTACGCACAGTTATTCAACCTAGAATTTAGCTATTAAGTTAATCGAGTTAATCTTCCTACTGATACAAGAATAAAACTTGGGAACTGTGGTGGCAGAGTATAACTCCATTATGGATAAAGTTTTATTTTGACAAAGTGTCACACACAGTGTGTTTGTTATACAGTAATATTTACTGATGATGACCACACTTTTCGAGCACAGTTGATCGTTGCTAATACTCATAATCAAATCAAGATACTACTCACTTTCTTGCCTCATCGTTTATCTTCATGCATAAGTAGAAATTGATGATGATTAGACAACATTTGACTGAATCAAATCAATGAGTAATATAAGATGAGAAGGAAGTACATTCGGAAATAATAATGATATTAGTGTTATCAATAAAATACAATCAGATGGAAAAGGAAATAAGATGTTTTCATAATAAAATAAATGCTAAATGAACTGAGATAGGGTGCATCTGTGACGAGTTTCTCGTTGATCGTCTTCCTATGATTTGCGTCAGGACTGAGATACTGCCCAGATGCTAAGACAAAAGAAAAGTGGTTGCCTTAATGGATCTATCTCTGAGCCTTTGAAGTGAAGTCGGATCCACAATACAGCACAGTAGCATCAGGAATGGTTGTTGGTGGCCTAAACAGGTTTGTACACCATTCTATTCCTTGAGATCCTAGAGCCCATGTGCCCAATTTGTGTAGAATTAAGGTTTCCACGATCTTCTATGTGGACTTCAGTGTTCACCAATTTGATGATAAGCTCCAAGCACTTATATTCTTTGTCTCTATTTTTATGAGGACTCCCCTAGTGAAGTCAGGGAACAGGACCTACATGTCAGAGAACACACGTGTCTAGCCAAGTCACAGCGTTTCGATGGGAAGACGAAAGTCTACCAGGTTGATTATGGGGGCTAATGTTGTTTGTAATTTTTAAGTGAGCTATAACGTACCACAATGTATATGAATGTTATTTTGTCGATAACAGTTTAAGGGAAACCAAGACACTTTAGTAATTCCTAATCTTTAATTATATGTCTGTATAATGAACCTAAAATATATACTAAGTCGCATCATTCTGGAGAGAATAAGGGATGTATGGGATACAGAACTCCACTAGCGCAGAACAAGATAACTGAATTCAGGAAAGGCAAATCATGTGCTGATCAGATTATTACTATACGCATCGTCATAATCATCATCACAGAACAAAGCGTAGAATGGCTGTCAAACCTCTCTCCACCTCAATAATGTCATCGACTTTGGAAAGGCATTTGACAGACAACGTTGACCGAGAAGTAATTTGGAAACTACTTCAAAATTACAGTGTACAGTGTCCAAGTATTTATCAACCTCATTCAACAGCTATATGACAGTGCGACGTGTCAGCTGATCCACAACGGAAAACTCAGCGAAGCCTGCATTTGAAGTGAGTGAATACAACAGAAAGACAAGCTGACTGGCTGTCTATTATCATCACGGATGATATTCTTAATTGTGGTGGACTGGATTATGCGTCGAATTGTGCGTTGAGGGTGAGTGAGTGAGTGAGTGAGAAGACAGGAATATGCTGGACTACCGATAAGAAGACTCTGGAAGAAATGGATTCCGCAGATAACTTAGGTTTAATGTCACACAAACTCAAAGACTTAGAGGCAGACGAAAACTGGCAGAAGAAGCAGGCAGTGAAAATAGGACTCCAGGTGGACGTAGAGAAGACGGAAGTGATGAGGATAACCAATCAGCAGTAACAACAACCAGCACCAGTCACTATCAACGGGAGAAACTTGCAAGAGGTCACTTTTCTTCCTTATCTAGGCAGCTAGAATCGTTTCAACCACAGGTAGTCGGAACGGATTAAGATGTCAAAGCCAGTCAGAATCGGAAAGGCGAGATACGCCATCATTCCAATGAAACCAGTTTGGAAATCTTCTGCAATAACTTGGACAGCATAAACAGGAAGAATCGGATTTTCAACACAAATATGGAGTCAGTCAAACACGGGTCAGAAACATGACTGCGTCGTTACGAAAAAGATTTCCAACAGGTCACTGCAGACTTTTATCAACACCTGTCACTTTCACCGGCTGGCTCCATACTGAAGATCAAATGGCCAGAAAGAATCAGCAGCCAGAAATTATAGGAACAAACCAATCAAGAGACGATTGATTGCTCAACAAACATGTAGGAGAAATTGATTGGACATGGATTGATCGGGCATACATTGAGGAAGGAGGCTGTCGAATAACATTGCGCGCTATGAAGGCTATCCATCACTTGAGTGGAATACCAATGGGAAGAGACGGACGAGTAGGTTATCGGTGTGAGGTTGACATGGAGATGATCGTTTGTGGAGGAGGAGGAGGAGATGAGAGATTATGGTGAATCGTAGAGCTGACCAACTGAAGAGGACGGCAGAGAATAGAAGAAAGTGGAGATGTGTTGTTGTTGAAGCCAGCCCTATGTTCCACTTTGGAACCCAAGGGAATAATAATAATCATAATGATGAACTTAATCATATTGCTTTCAGAAATAAACAGTATTTCTGACATTGTTTAAGAAATACTACACTATTGCTAATCAGTGATAGATATATGAGATGAAACGTCGTATAAGAAAACATTTCATTCCACTGGTAGACGTCATACAGATGTCAAACGATGAATGAATGTGGTAGTGAACGTATCCTGATGAAAGTTATTCATGCAAATCATCACTAGTTTCCATTACATTCTGAACTATACTCAGCGAGTGTGTTTGTAATAAATATATTGTACACAGAATGGTAGTTTTGAAATTTGAGTCAAGTAACTACCAGAGAATAGAAGTACTTCTTAAAATTCTTAATTCAAAGATTTACACACATGTTAATCAAAAATAAGGATGTACACTCCTAAATAATATATTTGACTGAGTAATTTTCAATGCAAATCTATTGAAATCACATATGAGTAGAGGAGGATGGACTTATTATTATTATTATTACTATTATTGTTCCCTTGGGTTCCAAAGTAGAACATTAGGGCTGGCTTCAACAACAACACATCTCCACTTTCTTCTATTCTCTGCTGTCCTCTTCATTTGACTAGCTCCATGATTGCGCGAAGTCTGTAATCTCTTCCTCACACGATCTACTCTATGTCACCACAGCACCGACCACCCACTTGTCCGTCGCTTCCCACTTGGATTCCACTCGAATGATGGATGGCCTGCACTGCGCTCGATATCTTTCGACGTCCTCCCTCCTCAACGTATGCCCCATCAATCCGTCTCCGATCCATTTCTCCTACGTATTTGTTGAGCAATTAGCTCCTGGTTGGTTTGTTCCACTGTAGACTTTCTTGTTACTAATTCTTTCTGGCCGGCCGACCGGCCATTTAATCTTCAGTATGGAGTCAGCCGGTGAAGGTGGCAGCTGTTGTCGGCCACAGGAAGCCGTGAACACAGGTTTTGTGATTGTTAGCACCCATCAGTAAGATGTGCCTGAAATTTTGAAGGAACAGCTCATGCCCCTTCTGAGATTCGAACTTCTGTCGACACAGTGCTGCAGTAGTCAGAGACGTTACCACTACGCTATTCGGGCACGCGATTAATATCCTCTGGGACTGTACTAGATACTGTTAGTAACTAGTGTCATGCATGTGTACGGCTGTAAACACATATATGCTGAGAAACAACAGTATTTACTGAGCCAACCAACAGTTCCGAAAATGGTTTTATTCTTGCAACTTCAGTTACTGAGTTGGGTGGGCTAGTACCAGTGAGATATGAACACAACGCCTAAAGAGTGTGATAAAAAGAGCATTCCGTGCTAACGAATTACTCTGTGTTCGGGAGTTAAAGACAAACTACCTTACTTCGCCTCTTCTATGTGTGTGTATCTATCAATTTGACTGCTCTTGTTGTGGAGTGAGCCAGTCAGTGACATAGGCCGTACAATTAGGCGTATTTCTTTTCAAATTTCCGAACATCATCCTGTACAGTGGTTGGTGAAGTAAAGGACAAACAAAATCCATTCATATGGCGCTATTCTATCTCACTCATCTCGTGGATACACAACACAAGATTGATGTTAACAAGGTAGGTGGCTTTCAAAGTCATCCATCTACCGCATACCAACCAGCTAATCTTAACTTCAACTTAAGAGTTCGTCTACTACATATTGCTGAGACTGGCTATTGGGATCTCCACTAAAAAGCCTAACTTACGTATCCAGAAGAAGAAGTTGGTTGAGACACTCTCCTTACCTTGGCCATCTAGGTTCCAATGATCCTCAATCTGTTGTTGTGGAAATTTCCATAATTTTATTTGATATTCTATTCACTATTACATTTTTATGCTTCTTATTATAATTTATGTATCTTTCGTGAACTGTCTGTAATTCCACTGGGATCTTACTTAACAAATCAATGTTATTTAAGAAGCACACTAATATTGTTATTGGCAATTATTCTAGAATAATGTCGTATTGCTTGAGACTGTTCAGTTCAGTACAGTGAAACAGACAGACATCTAAAACTGACAATAAATTATTTGTATATAACCGAAGATTATTTAATATCTGGACGATGAAAAGTAGATGTACGCCACTGTCTGTATCACTAATAGTTAGCAACGATTGATTCTCACAGTATAAATAACCCCAAACATGCAATCTACATCACCCTACAAGGACTGTATTGGATCCACTAGTTTCTATTGTCCAATCAAAGTATCGAATACAGTCAGTCCTACAGGAGCTCAGTCACGAGCCCGAATAGCTCCTCAGTGGCGGTAACGTCTCTGACTGATTGCAGTACACACTGGGTGGTGACGCCGGTTGGAAACTCAGAAGGAGGGACATGAGTTGTTCCTTCAATGTGGTTGCATATACACGCCCTGCTGACTGACTGACTGACTGGTGAGTGCCAACTAGCACGAAACCTAGGTGCTGGCAAGGCTTCCTTCCTGTGGTCGACTGCCTCCAACCATCTAATATCAACAATTCAATGTGCACCGTGATGGCGAGCCACATTGCAAACTTGACTGACTGATAGAATCCAGCCTGCACCAACACCAAGTATTAGCCAGACACACACATCACACTAGTTGCTGACTGACTAGGATATTCTGTGCTCATTTATATTTTTCGTTGTTTTTTCTAAATGTGTTCTGTGCGATAAAGAAAGCATTAGGCGTGACACCTATAATTCATTAAATAGTCAGTAGAACAACTGGACCTCGTCTTTCCAACCCACATCATCAATAGGTACAACATTTCTTTCTTCTTTTCCTTTCTTCTCTTCTTTTTTTTCCGTTATGTGCTGCTTTGTTTCTTTCTCTCGCTTACGCCAGTTAATAAGACAGCTCCCACTTTTCTAACACCTTCAAACACTGTTTCAGCTTTACCTTTGCTACTGACATGCCAATGTATTGTTGTAATAATGAACTGTTGGTTTCCTCAATCTATGTAGAATTCTATTTATTGATAATGTACTAACTGGATGCAATACTGTAGTAAAAATGCTGAGAATTCCATTCTGTATCACAAGTACTGTTTTGGAATAAAGCAAATTATTATTATTAAAAAAGTTTTCGCCATATATTGGTATGCTGTTGTGTTTAGTTTTCAAATACGCTTGCCTACACATAAAAGACAGGAGTATAATATCTCCCACTCTCTCTCTATCACACACCCTCTCTCTGTGTTCCTAGTGATCTAGTGACCTGATCGATGAATTGATTCATTTATGTATGAAATAAACTACTCATTTATTTATTTATTTAACAGTTATCGACACAACATTGTCTCCTTCTTGTCAACTTCTTTTTTTCTTCGAGTTAGTCCAGTGAACGAACCAACACATTTGGTAAGATAATCCAGGAGAATAGCAATCAACATGGCTTCCTGAAAACAACATCATCATTGTCTAAATCGATCAAAGCTGGTCCATTGTCATTAGCACGTGTTTTACCGCCAAAATTGAACAAATTATATCCGATAACAACAACCACCACAACGCCAGCAGCAACAACAAGACAGTTGACAACTTCATCCCCTACATCAAAATCATCTGGAACACTACAGCTGACATCAACAACTACAGAGGCTTTAACAAAACACAATCTAGCCTAACATCTTTATCAAAGTGTGATTGGAAGCAGTCAAAATAAAAACAGTTGTACATGATATATATGTATATCTATATCTATATATATTTATATCTCATTTCATATATCTATACATATGTATATTTTGAATTGGAATAGAAATTGTAATGAAAGCACATCACTGTAACAAAAGGTCATTTTTGTGTTTGTTCAATGTGTGTTGATTTGATTCGTTGCCTTCAAATACAAGCAAACAAACAAACAAACACGCCTTTTTTCTCTTATATTGATAACAGTTTTCTTTCGTTTTTTTTATTCTTTGAGAATAAAACTTTGAGGCTTTTATGCTTGGAGTGAGCGATGACTGTTTTACCAAATACGGCGGTGACAGCTGTTCTTACATTATTTGTGAAATGTTATTCACGTAGAGAGAATGTTAGATTGATGAGTGATATAATCTGTGATTATTGTTCCTTTGGGTTCTAAAGTGGAACATATGGCTGGCTTCAACAACAACACATCTCCATTTTCTTCTATTTTCTGCTGTGAGCTTCAGTTGGCTAGCTCCTGGATTGACCGTAATCTCTCATCTCCTCCATGTCACTACATCATCAATGACCCACTCGTCCCATTGGGATCCCACTCAAGTGATGGATGGCCTGTATTACGTGCAATGTCATTCGAAGGCCTCCTTCCTCAATGTATGCCCGATCAATCCATCTTCACTCCGTTTTTCCTACATATTTGTTGAGTGATTGGCTCTTGCCTGTTGGTTTGTTCCACTGCAGAGTTTCTTGTTGCTGCTTCTTTCTGGCTGACTGACCTTTTGATCTTCAGTATTTAGGCAGTCAGCCAGTGAACGTGTCAGTTGTTGGTAAAAGTCTACATCTGGTGACGCACGGGCCAAGTTTCAGATCCATAAAGTAGAATTGACTGACTGGATTCATATTTTTGTTGAAAATCCGATTCTTTTTGTTCATGCTGGCTGATTTATTGCAGAAGATTTGCAAACTGGTTTCAGGTTGATGAAGGCCTACGTATCTTGCTTGTCTTTCCGATTCTGGTTGGCTGGGTAGGCTCTGACATCTTCATCCGTGCCATCCACCTGTGATTAGTGAATCAACGTTCTGGGAGTGCACAGAAATCAAATAGAATTCACTACATCCAATATTCTAGAAATGAATATTTAGTTAGTAGCGTGCTGATTGTTAACTGAGAAACTCTTCAGAGCTATAACGAGATGCTTCATTAACAGCCTGTTTTGTTGTTGTTGAGAACGCACTACCCCTGAAGAGTGTTGCCTAGTTTTTCAGTCGCCTTATACGCTGATGCCAGTGTGTGTGTGTGTGTGTGATTTAACACTTCTGACCTGCAATTCAAACATTCACACTTCAATAAGCATCCTTACAAATGAGTGTATATGTGTATGGCTGAATGGCTGATAAATAACGAAGGCTTACTATAGAATTAACTCAAGATTACCTATATATATGGAGATCAAGTTCACTTTTAACAGTTTGAAAAAATTTGGGCATTGGTATGGTATTGGGTATATGATATTCATTATAATTAAGGTTATTTTTTTGTATTTCCCAGTGAATGAATGAAAACAAAAAAGGATATTGTTGTCGTTGTTTTTAATGACGACGTTTCGCTATTTAATGCTGCTGCTGCTAATAGCTTTATCATCAAAGGAGTAATATTAAACCAGAAGAATTTACAAAATCCACTTAGCTAATATATAACAACTTAACCATCTTTCCTCAGCTTGCTGTAATTCTGTTTACGTTGTTGTAAAGTTAGCCAATCGGTAAAAATAACAAAACCAGGTGTAGGTTTGAAAAGTGTATAAAATTATACAAAAGCAGAGTGTGTCTACATAATGAAATTGCTTATCACATTCGTGTTGATTTTGTCATTTCATGCGAGAAATCGAGGGTATAGTGTTGTAATCAGGTCAAATTCTGTTTCAGTCCATCATTCCTATTCAGTTCAGACAATTTGGATTCCATTTGGTGATATGAAGTCCTTCTGATGATGTTAGACGTTCTTTGTGATTTTTCAAACTATTTCTGGTTGATGATTCCAGTATTATCAAAATCAATTTTGTGACCTGATTGATTCTATAGCGTAGCGTGTAGACGGCGACCTATGTCTGATGATTCTTCAACTGGATTTATTTCTCGGTGGTCGAACAGATGCGGCTCTACGGTGTTCATTTCTTCTGATTACCTTGATTTCTCTCTAGTGATGTTTGTCCGATGTATATCACATCACATCACATCCCATTTCAAGCATTTCATTTTGTAGACACAATTAGATGGAGAATCCTTAGGGATTTGGTATTTCATGTGGACAAGGTTGCTTTAAAGTATGTGTGTGCATGTGTGATGTTTTGAAGAAAACTCCAATGTTGTGATGTTGAGTACTCTTCTGATATCTATCGTCTGATGTCTCTGATCGATATGTAATGACAACTGTTGAGGTGCATACATGTCTTCGGTATACGTTTTCGACCATATATTTAACGTTGTTGGTGTTGATTTTGCCGATGAAGTTCTTGTGTGTGTAGTTATTTCGCTTGAGAGTCTCAGTATCTTCTCATGTTTCTTCTTCCTCCGCTTTTGCCTTTCCCTTCTCATCCGTTAACATCAAGGAATGTGCTCATCTAAGAAGACTTGAAACAACCGATACCTTTGTGCTGATTAGAGTGTGACGACCCGAATTCTAAATATTTGTTGTTGGAGTGAGATTTGCCTCTCGAATGAATATAGATATACTGAAATGTCCATTTTCTCTCCTCTTCACAAGACAGGCAGTCTGGTTAAGAGTTAGTTCATCGACGTCGCCTGATTCTGCCTGCTCTCAAAGTAAACTGGATGGATGGATGCTGTGAGGTAGATTGTGCACAGTTTCGCTGCAAGAATGAACTGTGGTGTAGATCTCGTTTTAGCACTGCACGTGAGTATCATCAACGTATCAACAATGTAGGCATATTTTAGGCGTGATTATACTTGATAAGATGTCTATGTCCAATAAAACATATATTAAAGGGTATATTTCTGATTTGATTTCATCGAAAAATATTGGCTTCACATACATCGCAGTTCTGAACTGTTGAACAGGTCTGTGAAATACAGACTAATAAATTGATTCATGTAATTTCATTAATCAAGATGAAACAAACTGTTATCGAGTATCATTTCGATAACCTTTACAACCAAATTATGCGTCTTTTGTGAAACGTGATATTATATTATAACTAAGGTTGACTGAATGAAATCAAAGCCATTTGATATTTGAATGAGGCAAGAACAACAACAACAGTAGAGGTTTGTGCAGAATAAGAACATGGTACCACCATCATTGTTTATTTCGTTCGTTGGCTTCTCACCACCTCAGTTGCTGCTCACAGCCCAGAGTCATTATTAAGTATATCTACAGAAACAATTTTAACACACTGACATACACGGAGGGTTCATTTTTGAACAAAAATCAAACAGTCAATAAATATATGCATACAATAATAATAAACACTTTATCCCAAACAAGAGAGGATGAAAACATCCAGTTACCAGACAGGGCAGGCCAAAGAAAGACTGATGCTGTCTGTTTCTTACTGAACACATAAATAAATCAGGTTTCAGGTGCTTCATGGAGATTGCTTCGGCAAAATTAAGGAGAACTGAACTCTTTTGCCTACTGGTAATCTACTGTAGTGACCCGTTTTATCACTAGGATATACGTGTACGCTAGTTTAGTCAAAATATAGCAGCACAACACTACCATGATAAAACAGCTTACTTATTTATTAGCTGTAGTTGTTATGATAATTGATATTTAATTCCATCTTTAATAGATTTGACTCATTTAAAACTATTTATTATCATTACCGTTATCTTAACTCGCTTCGTTATAATCATTATAATTATTGTTCTGTTTGCAATTGCTGACATTTTCTGGTTGTTTCTCTGATAACTGACTATTTATTTAAGTGGTGTAACTGAAGAGTTTTCCTTTGATTGGAGACTAGTCAGTAACTAGTGTGATATGTCCGGCTAGTCCTTTGTTTGGTGCGAACTGAATTCTATCAGTTAGTCAGCTCTGCAGTGTGAAGCAGGTTCGAGTCTCAGAAGGGAAATTAGTTGTTCCTTCAATGTGGTTGCAGATACGCCTTACTGACTGACTGGTGAGTGTCAGCTACCACGACACCTAGGTGGAGCAAGGCTGCTTGTGGCTATTTGCCTCGAACCATCTAATAGAACAGTTATCCGTTGAAATCTTAATTATAATCTCTTATACTCCCTTGTGTTTATTTATCTGAACATGACCTGCAACACATTCACACTTAACGTTTTGTATGATTGATTCATTGTATTAGCAGACTTTAACAAAAATCACTAGGAAATGGTCCCAGGTGGACCAGCGGTTAGGATTCCTGGCTCTCACCCAGGCAGCCCATGTGCGACTCCTGAAGCAGGAGCGCCTTTATGCGTCTGTGGCACAGAGGTAGAATATTCGCCGTCGACCACGCCCCCATGTGGTCCGGGGATCCATCTCCAGCCAACTGGCCACTGACGCACTCCTTCACCTCGCTCGCTAAGCCAGTAACAAGACAGGTAAAGAAGGAATGTTGGAGGCGTGAGGCTAGCAGTAACCCCATCACATAAAAATAAACACCACTACCACCGAAACTTCAAGCCTCTCTAGCTTGAAGACGTCCTATATTTCACATTGGGAAAGAAAAAACCCAAAAAACTAACAAATCAATAGAACATGAGTTATATTTTTAAAATGAAAAACTAATAATGACTATATTTAGTGATGTTAAAGGTGAATGCATGTGGACAACATTTATCCTTTATAGGATGATAAAGACACAGATGCTTTTTTAAATATATAACATAGATTGACACTGATATTAAAGCAGTAGTAAGTGTGAATAACATTCATCCAGTAAATCAATATGTTCATCTCTTCTGAAGAATAGCAATAATAATAATAACAATAATAATAATAGTAATAATAATAATGACTATGATAATGGCAACAATTAATGATAATAATAGATGGAATTGTTTCTCGAACAGGATTACACTCGTGCACTCGGTTTATCCTCCATATCGACTTCACTTTTCAGTATTTTCTTATTGACGATTTCTTCATTCATCTATTGATGATTATGAAAAAAGACAGTTTAAGTAGTTAATAGAGGATTTTATTCGAAAGGTGAGTCAACAAAAAATGAAAATACTTTTTTTCTCAAGAGTGATATATATGTGCATAGGACCCATAGTAGCCGACATTTTCCTTCACGAAACTACAGAATGGGGTTCTTTCAAAGAAATCATTGATGAATCAGACTTCTACCGTTGGTATATGGATGACAGATGCATTTTTGATTATGACAAAAATGAGGTTGAAGCAAAGAACACCCACTGATAAAAATTAACGATGTACACATCTGCCAACAAATGTTACCATCGAGAAAGAAAGAGACTCTAGTATTTCATTCCATAGACGACGTCCTTATTGCCTGGAAAAGAGGACGGTACAATATGAAGAAGAAGTGTACATATAAAAGTTATCAGTATATTCAATGTTTTTCAGCTGTGTGCCTTTGAAAATCACAAACGGAATCTAATAAAGTGATGGATTCGCCACAGAGCAAGAGCGATCTGCTCTGATGAATGTCTTCATGAAGAGCTGAATATTATCAAACAGTTGCTGTGGAGTGAGAACGGTTACCACATAAAAGTTCATTGATAAGAATGTGAATGAGAGGTGAAGGCAGGCAGTCAGGCAGGCCAAAGTACCAACCAATATTTCTGACATACAACTTGTTCCTACAACTTCAGTTCCTCATGGATAGTAACATGATTGAGATATTGGGGTGCGGCGACAAAAAGAGAATTCAGTGCTACCGAATTACTCTGCGTTCGAGAGCAACGGATTACCTACCTCACTTTGCCTCTTCTATATATATTTATATACATGAAATTTTTTGCTATATTAATATGTATATATATACGTGTGTTTTAAAAGAGACTGTGATACTGATTTTATGCAGATAACTCCTTATTACCATGACACCTAAACTCACCAGTTCAAAATTTCAGTCAGAGGGCGGATTATTTATTTTAAGGTCAGACTTAAGCTCTTCTAAATCAGTGGGTATATTGAAAGAAATATTTTGTTTTTTTAAAATTTGGATTCACTGAAACATGTCATTTCGTTTTTTTAGAATGATGCATCTGCTTTAATTCAGATATTATATGTTTCCATAAATAATATAATGATAACAATAATTTAATAATATATAAATATATGTAGAGTTGTCATCAGTTAGAAAGCCATTGGAAAACCACCTGGGAGTGTTGGACAGCCAGCTGTTTCGTCAGCCTAGTTCGGAACTGGTTCTTCAGCAGTACGCACCAACCGGAGCTCGAACCTAGGACCTTCTGGTTACAAGGCGAGCTGGCTTGTAGACCAATAATAAGCCATACACTCACTGTGACCCAATACAATGAGCAGCCCATAAATTCCAATTTATGCTGATTCACGACATAGTGCGGCCACTTCGCAATGTTTTCTTCGATGAGTTACTGCCTCACCGTCAACCTGCTGTACCCTCCTGGTCACTGCTTTTCACTAGAACCCAACCCCAGGTTAACTGTCTGGATAGAACCAGTCGCTAGTGAGCATCAGAAATATATATATTTATATGTTGTGTGCGTCGGTAGCACAGTGGTTAGGATACTCGCCGACCATGCACATGGTCTTGGGTTCGATCCCCGGCCGATGCACTCCTTTACCTCACTGAGCCAGAAATAAAACTGATAAAGAGGAAAAGTTGGGCATGAAGCTAGCAACCTCATCCTGTAAAAATAAACACTGCTACAGAAACTTCAAGCCATTAGCTTGAAGCCCTATGTTCCACTGGGAACGTGAAGGAATAAAAAAAATATATGTTGTGGCACACATGCATGACACTAGTTACCAACAGGTGTCCTGTCAAAGTATCCAGTATAGTCCAAGAGGATATCAGTCGTGGTCACGAACAGCCTAGTGGTAACGTCTGTGACTACCGCAGAACTGGGTCGACATGGGTTCGAATCTCACAAGGGACATCAAATGCTGTTCCTTCAAGATTTCAGGCATATCTTACTGACGAGTGCTAACAATCACGAAACTTGTGTTCACGGCTTCCTGTGGCCAATAGCCTCCAATTATCTAACGACAACAATTCAGAGTGTATCTTCACCAGATAAAATTTGTGCTTGTGTTCTTGTACACTTCAGAAGATCATCAAATCTACAGATATGAGTGAAACATATTTAAATCATGGGAAATACCCATAAGGATGTTAGACAGAAAACAAGGCTATTTGTTTTCCTCTGATTTTATTCATAATAAGTGTAAAAACGCAGTTTGTTAAAAATCACCATAATTACTATGATGAATCAAATGATAATTGTGATGATGTAAACTTACGTCTATATAAATAGACTTGCAGGCGACAACTGGGAACAAACTGGGTGAAGAGGCTGGCTGGCTGGCAGCGAAGACAGAACTGACTCCATCCAGTCGACGAACATAGAGAAGGTGGAGATGGAGGTAGTGAAGATAACCAACCAACCAACGAACGGCAACAACAACAACCAGCACGAATCACCATCAGTGAGAGAGATTTAACAGAGGTTATCTCCTTCACTTATCTAAGAAGCCAGCATCGTTTTAACTACGGGCAGATGTAACGGATGAAAATATCAGAGTCAATCAGCCAGCCAGAATCGGAAAGGCAAGCACGATACGCACGCCTTCATCAACCTGAAACCAGTTTGCAGAACTTCTACACTCAGCGTAAGGAACAAGATTCAGATTTTCCACACAAATGTGAACTCAGTCAGTTCTTCTATATGGGTCAGAAACTTGCACTGCGTGTGCATCGCAAGAAGAATCTTCAACAGCTAGTGGCAGACTTTTGCCAACAGCTGCTTTCACTGGCTGCATACTGGAAATCAGATGGCTATCCAGAAATAATTAGCAACAAGATGCTCTGCAGTTGAAAAAACCAACCAACAGCCGATTGATTGCTCAACAAATATGTAGGAGAAATGGACTGAAGATGGACTGATCGGGTATATTACATTGAGGAAACCGTCGAATTACATCGAGCGCAATGCAGGCTATCCATCACTTGAGTGGAATCCAAATGGGGAGCGACGGACGAGAGGGTGGTCGGTGCTGTGGTGACATGAAGTAGATCGTGTTAGTGGGAGGAGATGAGAGATTATAGTCAAACGTGCAGCTGACCAACTGAAGAAGACAGCAGAAAATGGAAGAAAGTGGAGGTGTGATGTCGCTGAACCCAGCCCTATGTTCCACTCGAAATTCAAGTGAATAATAACAATAATAATGTATATAAATTGCAATTATGCATTCATCTATTGAGAATAAAATCATGGATTGGGAATGATACCTTTGCTGAATTTCTTGTTAACAATGTAAAATATATTTCATATAAACTTAAATGTGTTTGTTTGCAAGCATATATCTTACCTTCAATAAACTTTGAGTGGTTAGTGTCAGCTCAGTTTTTAAATCTTGAATAAGCTTAGCAACGGCCCCGGGTGTTCTTATTATCTCAACACTCTGTGTATATGGATTATAATGAACGTCGAACGGTCGTTTAATCGTTTGTGCAAATTCTCTAGAATAATACAAAATGTCAATTCAATAATTCTTTGTTTAACAATACTGAAGAAATGTAGAATATATATAATAATAAAATTCAAAATTGTTGGTGACGATAATAATAATAATATGGTGACTACTGAACACCTTCAGGTTACTTCATTTCTGGAGTGTACAACGCTAACACGAAGAGGAAGTACAACAAATCGAATAAATCACTTCTTCTTCGAACAATTAATCCCTTTTGATAAATTTGAACAAGGGCATTTAGTAAAAGACATATTTCCCAAGATGATATCCTCATTTTGTAGTTTCTTTACAATCATTTTACAACTAGCAACATGGTTGGTTCACAATTATTATTATTATTACAATTATTATTATTGTTTCCTTTAATTCGTAGAGGAACATAGGGCTTCAGCCGTGCGTCTCCATTGCGTTCGGTTCTCTGCTAGAGTCTTCATCTGGCTCCATGTCTGCCAACACGTTTTCATTTCCTCTTCACATGACCTCCTCCAAGTTACCCTTGGACGACCAACTCGCCACTTCCCTTTCTGTATTTCGTAAACAGACATGGAGTGGACAATATCTTCATTTCACCTATTTTGTTCCTATCCAGTATAAATGTTCCCTAATGGTGAAATGTTTGTTTTCAAGAGTCCGCAAAATATGTTCGAGCGACATATTGTTGATTGACCTTAGACACATACATTCAGTTTTAATTAACTAATGGTTATCCAGAAAACTTACTTTATCACTTGTCACAGTAAGGATAGACGACATCTTGAAAAGACACAGCTTCTGACTAACTGGTGAGTGCCAGGCAGCTAACACGAAACCTAGGTCAGCTGAGGCTTCCTGTTGGCGATTGCCTCCAACCATCTAATATCAACAATTCATAGTGCACCCTGATGGTGAGCTACCTAGTAGCATGGTGGCCACATTGCAAACTTGACTGACTGATACAATTCAGTCTACACTAACACCAAGGACTAGACACCCCCCGCACACACACACACACATTACACTAGTTACTGACTGACTAGTGGCCAATCAAAAATTAGTTATCTAGTCAAAAGAAAGCGATGTTCAGTACAGAAGTTATTAAAACAAGTATGCTCCTGGGTTCGAACCCCAGTGGGTGCGTACTGTGAAGAGTCCCAAACTAGGACGAAACAGCTGTCCAGTACTCCCTGCTTTTCCAATGATTCTCTAACCAATGCTAGCTCATGATGAAATCCTGTAAACAAGTATGCTATTTTACAGAATTATCCAAAGCATTAACCACCAGTACTGATTAGAAGTAATCTGTATTCCCGTTATCAGTTTTCTAAGAACCAATTAAATTATTTCACAACGATTACCTCATTTGTTGTGTTGCAAGCTCAAATGATGTGGTCTCAAAATATCCATTTTGGAATGTAGTCACCAGACATTCTTCATTCATGACCTTCTCTGGTATGAATGGTTTGACCACAGCCTTATCACTTAAAGCGTGCTACAAATAAACAACAAGAAAAGTAATACATGAATGAGTCTGATGAATTTATGCAATATTTTCAAATTTAGAAAAGTAACAACAGCAGACTGAGCGAAGAAATCATGGATTCCTTGGCTTCAGTTAACAGTTCCTCATCATCATCATGATCATCAGCTGGCTGACTGGATCTACACTAGTATAAAGTGGTTTTTTCATCAAAATTGTTCTTACCAATCAATCACGTGGTTATTTTAGTTAATCAGTTTTAGACATAGGGGAGGGGTGGAGGGTGAAATGAAGAGGTTAAATGTCATCAAAACATCAATTAACTAATAGATGTTAGTGATAAGATACCCAAGTGTTAAAGGAAGGGTATTAATTAAATTATTACGGAATTCAAGATAAGTTGATTCCTATTATTATAAATATGATTCTTCCCTTGGGTTCCGACTGGAACATAGGGCTGGTTTCAACAACAACACATCTCCACAACGGTTTGTTCAAGCCAACCGGCCAGACAGTCTCGTATGGAAGTGTAGACTTCCTGACTCGCTGGTTGAGGTCCTCGGGATGGTGGTGAGAACCAATAAAGGCTGGAGACAATTGTTGATATGACTGGCTCAAAGTGATCTTTCACGGTGATGACTGGCGCTGGTGCAGATGCATCCACCCCTTGTGACTTATAATATCCAACAGAACTACATTATTCTTACATATGACACCTATTCTTTTTACCTCATGTCTCTGTTTTGATTCTCTTTTTACTCTCTTCTCTTGCTTTGTCTGTGTGAAGTGTGGTGACTCGAACTGCCGTACTTTTGTGCAAAGTTCTGTGATAAAACAAATCAGTCAGTCAGTTCGACTGAGAAAGCAAAGGAATAAAATGGAAATAAAAGTAAAATTCTCGGTAGTCACTTCACTCTGTATCGGTAGTTACTTTTTCAATACATTTTGTTACTCTCATTATTCATGCGTTAACATAGATAAAAAGCATTTAGTACCACGTTTTACAAAAAGCTTATGGGTTTATGTGAAATAGTGAATGCTATTTACCTGTAATTCAGCAGCTGATGAAAGTAAACCAGCACCATACGCCTTCAGTTGATCATCTTGTCGACATAGTCCGAATTCGATAGTAAAGAAGTAACACTAATATGTAATCGAAAACAAAAGAACATTCCTGTCATTATCTAAACTTAGCAAACACTGTGTGAGTTGATAAATCACCGGCTGTTTCGTCAGCCATGTTTGGGGCTGACACTTCATCAACACGCACCTAAACCACTGCGAGGTTTCAAACCCAGGACCAAGTTCTGGTTACAAGGCGAGCGACCTTCCCTATTCAAATGGGTAGGTAGTTATCTGGGCATTGTAGTGGGAAGTCATAACTAGTAAGGTACAGCAGGTAGGGTGTGAGGACAAATACTCGCCGCCACCAATGATAATGACCGGTGCCACTCTCGCTGTATAGTGAGTGAATCGGCAGAAGTTGGAATTCATGGGCTGGATGGCCATTGGATCACGTCCCAATGGGTGGCTTAATGGTCTATGAGCTCGCTTCGGTGGGTGCGTACTACTGAATAGCCAGCTGCAAACTAGTCTGACGAAACAACTGGCTGTCCGGTACTCCCTGTGGCTGCTTTTCCAATGGTTCCACCACCAACCAATGACAGTGCTCATGATGTCAGCTCCTGTAACCAATTAATCAAATCCGTACAAATCAATACCTGAAAATCATCGTCTGACTAGTGTATGAAAGGATACAAGATGCCCGAAATCACAATGTTTTATGCATTATTAAGTGATTGTAAGTGCACCTTATTTCACTCATTCCACTTGTCATTCTAAATCCAAATTTTTGTTTTGTAACGTAAAATTCTATGTTATCAAATTTCATACAATGTTACGTAACGTTTATATTTTTATTTGATTTGCCTACTAATCCTATAATTGCACACTCCTTCCTAGTTCTACACATCCTATGAATTATTGTATATATCCACCGGAAACGTACATGGAACGGACAACTAACTAATTTTTATAGTTGGGTGCGTATCTCCAGGAAAAGATCCCTAATTCATTCACTTTACTTAAGGATAAGACACATTTGTAAGTCTGACTGCGTCGTCTCAGAACATGACTTCCTAAAAGCCACACTCGCACAAAACGGTTACCCGAACCGATTTAATGACAGTAACATGAAAGATAAGCAGTCTAAACTGGTCACCGACTCAGTTCCAAAGAAAACCTTATTCATGAACTTGGAATTCAAAGGCGATCAAGCTACAGATATGCTCAAAAACCGTTTCTCTAAAGCAGCCAGTAAGACGTTCTTTGCAGCAAAATTACAAATGACGCTCACCAGCCGCAAGTCGTTCTTCATCTCTGTAAAAGATAAGCTCCCCGTCTGTCCGCCTCCATGTGCATCTATCAGTTCACTTACTGTTGTGGAGCCAGGTACATTGGCCGTAGTCAGACGACACTTTCTACACAGATGTGAAATACAAGGGAGAAAGGAAGTTTGTGCGTAGCTCCATTCTAGAACATCCGAGCGACTCCTGTGTCACTCCACAACAATCCTCGCCATGATTTAAAGATCATCATCTATCGAAACCATGCTAACTTGCCGGCCAAGTTTTCTTCGTTACAGACTTCTAAAGGCAGTGGATGCCTTGGTTATTTCACTCATGAATTAAAGCCAGACCAACTTTTGTATACAAAAGAAGTGTGTACAATCCCTAATTCTGCCTTGGCCGTAGAGGGATAGACATTTATTTATTTATGTATTTTGTTTATTTAGTTAATCTATGCACCCTTGCCTCAATACTACGATTACTATTATCATTAATATTACTATTCTCACTTAGAATTGTTTCCGCTTATCTCACCTGTCATTCTAAATCCAAAATTATCGTTATTATTTTTACAATATTGAAATCTATCTTATCGAATTTCATGCCATGTTATGTAACATTTTATATTCGCCTACTAATACTATGATTGTGCACCTCTTTCCAACAACTATACACCTTATGGATTATTTTATATGTGATATTAATTGTTTTGCCACTTGACATTTAACTATGATTATAATCACAAACATTTTAACTGCATTTCATACTACTACTATTATTATTACATGCATTCACATGTATAATTCAATTCCTTTCCTCACCGGACATAATTTCTTAAAAACAACCACATATATGTATACGATTGTACAGCTTGATGAGAATAAAATCGTTGTTGAAACGAGTCTCTTTGCTGACTGAATCACCACTTGTTTTGATTTTTACTATGTCATTACATTGAGGATTTTCCATGAATATTAAAGCGTCTCCTTAAACAACTGTGAAAGCTGGAGTATTTTTCAGTTAGATCACAGATTGATATCAGTCAGAGAACCATTGAAAACCAGTAGGGAGTAGTGGACAGTTAGTTGTTTAATCTTAGATTGAAGCTCTTCATCAGTAGGAACTCGAACTCAGTACCTTCCTGCAAACAAAAAGGTAAGCGTACTCATAGACGATTTAGGCACTGGGACCCAATTCAATGACCCATGAATGCTCAGACTACTAATACGGGTTCGTGATTTTAGCGTGACTTCACTAGCTAATACCATCGGTGACGAGTTTTTCTCCTCACATCAAATCTGGCAGATGCCATTGGCCATGGCATCTTACTGGTAGAAACTTCAGGGAGCTTCATCACTTGCGAGCATCAGGTTAATTTCCATTCAATTTGCGGTAAAAATTAAAACAAATCAAATTCTTACAAACTAGCTTAAATAATTTAACAAACTAAGTGAGATCTTTGCTTATTTTCTGTTTTCAATGACGAACTGCAATCCACACTGCGTCTCTTAACTGAATATCTCATACTGATTGGGTAGGTGGCCTGCTCAACTTTAAGTATTCTGACTATTTGTTGTACCATATGCTTCTTTTCAGTGGTCTGACAATTGTTCAAGGAAACAGGATGAAATTCATAGACCGGATGTTATCGATTCTCGTGTAAACTAAATCTCTTGCTTCAAAATTGAAGCTTCTTTTACAAATTCAGGGGATGGTGATTGGCGATTGATTGGTAAGGAGATAGGCCTACATTCTCTTGAACTGAACTGGGTGGTTAACACTAGAGCACAGTAGTTCAAGCTGCCACACTTCATTAAATTACACTCAAACACACATAAAGTTAGGGTAAAATATAAAGAAGAGAAAGTGTAGTAAAGGGGAGTGTGAGGAAACAGATAAAACAGAATTTAGGAGGTCTACGAAATCATCAATTAAGTGAAAACATCCTCAGCATTAACAACGATTTGAGCTGTATCACACTCACCGGTAGTCACCAACTACTGAACTGTGTGCAGTCTATATCTCCTTACAGTACTCGAAGTAACAGTCAAGGAATTAGTGCAATGGTACAACGTTTTGCTGGCGAAACTCCTTAATCCCTCCTCCCAATGCAGTTCTATGTCAGTTAAGATTTCTCGATGATGAACATAATGGTTTGTCATGTGTAACCCGCTTCCTAGTCATCTAGACGGATGCTGCTTCATAGACGCATCCACTCGCTAGCATTCCCTCCTTATCTAACACTTATCACTACCTAACACAGGAGATGGAATGCATACACCTGTGGTCACAGACAGCTAGCCTCTACAGGTCTCCAGCCATATTCACAGCATAATGAATCACGAACCAAACTACTGCGCCATATACGCCTCATTTAATAGGTAGCCGGATGTCATACCTACTCTAAAGAGTGACGTAAGTTGGCAAACACTTTAGTAGCCATCCTTTGATAGCTGGCTGCGAAGCACGTATATAACATTCTATGTTTGCGTAAACACGTAAAGCTGACTTTCATGCAGTCAATCTTGATGGTTGGGCACATTCGTGAAATGTATAACACTTCCCAAATTTACCGAGAAATGTGAACATAATTATTCAGAAGTTATTTATCGAATCAAATAAGTTCATCTGTAAAATCAGGAGACTGGTAACATCATCTGGAAACAGCTATGTCACGGTAGTCATTTATCAGCAGTATTCTTCACTACTAGGAGGTGGTAATTCAAGTTATCCCACTTTATATGATAAATACGTATTCAGTTCTGCCATTTACTTTGATGTTTTATTGACAGGAGGATAAAACTTGAGCACTGTGGTGGTCGAATATAACTCCATCACACAAAGTGTGTTAGTTATACAGTAATATTTACTGATGATGAACAACACACACTTACAGCACAATGTTTATCATTGCTACTACTCATAATCATATCAAGGCACACACACACACTCACACACCACTCACTTTCTTGCTTCATTTATTACATACATGAGTAAAGGAAGACTGAGTTAAGTGTCTGTCTAACAACAACCGAGCAACAACATTACTAAGTAGTACAACAAAAAAGACCTAAATGATGAAATGAAACAGATAGAAGAAGAATGACTGGTTGGTGTTAAACAACTAACTATCATATAGAATTCATTAGGAAGATCAGAAAAGGTCAAAAGCAAACTAAGAACAATGGTGAAACTAATAATCGTAACATAACTAAGAGAGAATATAAGGCATCTACAGTAGTTTTACCTAACCTACTAGTTTCACTCACCTATGTAGGTAGTTGACCTAACTCACAGTCATTAAAACAAAGTATTTTGTAAATGATATAATATAATAAATATAAATATAAAGTGAGAGCTTCCTTAGAGTGCTTTTATCAGTGCAATGAGCTTTCTTAGCAGTATTTTCACAATATCTTTGCATCGAAACCGATTCAGATTCTTAAAATCATTGTTCACCTAGCACATAGAAATACTGCTGTGATACTAGCCTGTGTCTGATTTCCTTGATATGATTAGGAGCAATAAATTGTGCTCGAAACGTCATCAGTAAACATTACTGTATAACACTGTGAGACTTTATCAAAACAAAATTTACCCATAATGGAATTGCACACCACCACGGTGCATAAGTTTTATTCTTATATCAATAGTGTGATTTGTCTGACTAGACCTTTGTTTAGTGTATACTGAATTCTATCAGTCAGTCAGGTTTGCATTGTGGCCACCAACAGGCTAGGTGGCTGGCTGGCTCACCATCACGCTGCACTTTGAATTGTTGATATTGGATGGTTG